CGAGCCCCCAGTGCCCTGCAGCCACAGGTTTGAGGCTGAAGCAGGCAGCTGAGGTGCTGTGGGTTTATTAGAGAATTGTGAGACATCATTCTCTTAAATTCCTCCAGCCTCAGGCCTCCTGCTATTTTCAGAGCTTGTCTGTGCAGCACTTTTAGATTAGCACATGGGGAGAGGAGCTGAAGGAAGTGAACCAGGAAGCCAGACAGCAAATATCATCCAAAACAGAAATTAAAAACCGAACCAATAGCGGGATTATGAGCAGAACTAAGGGCAGAGCTGAAGGGGAGAATGAAAGGATTTTGATGGGGTGTGACGGATTCAAATCAGCCCAAAAACCTGAGCCTTGCTCCTCCTGCATCCTGCAGGGCCCTGGAGGGGCTGCACAGCCAAGCCCACGCCTCACAAAAAGCACAGAAAGAAGCACAAAAAGCACAGAAAGAAGCACAAAAAGCACAAAAAGAAGCACAAAAAGCTGCTGTGTTGTTGTTCTCAGGAAGGGAATATCCTGCTTCCTCCTCCAGCCCCGTGCCTCTGGAATCAGCGAATGGCTGCCACATTCCTGCCTTTATTCCAGCCACTTTTACAGGCCTGGACTTCCCTCTGCTCGTGCTTGAACGGGCTGGCTGAGCAGGGGATTGGGGAGCGCCTTGGTGCACGTGTGGGGACAGAAATCCGCCTTCAGAACCTTACAGAACTCCAAAAAGGAGCAGACTCGTGCCCAGGCCTTCGTTCTTTGCACACAAAAATCATCATTTCATCCTCTTTTGCACATAAAGTCATCACTTCATCCTCTTTTGCACATAAAAAAATCATCATTTCATCCTCTTTTGCACATAAAAAATCATCATTTCATTCTCTTTTGCACATTAAAAATCATCATTTCATCCTCATCGTCCTCCTCCTGTGGCCAGGCTGCAGTTTGCTTGTCCTCTGAAAAAGAGGAATATTTGAAACTGTGGATATACAAACTAATATATTATTATAGAAATATATATTTATATTATATTATATTATATTATATTATATTATATTATATTACATTACATTACATTATATTATATTATATTATATTATATTATATTATATTACATTACATTACATTATATTACATTAAATTACATTACATTATATTATATTACATTATATTATATTATATTATATTATATTATATTATATTATATTATATTATATTATATTATATTATATTATATTATATTACAAATATATTATTAGATATATTTTCTGCCAGGTTGCAGTTTGCTTGTCCTCTGAAAAAAAGGAATATTTGAAACTGTGGACGTACAAACAAATATATAGATATATAAATTTATATATATATATAAATAGTATATATAAAAATAATATATATATATATTGTATAATATCATGTCATATCATATATAATATAATAATATATCATATCATATATCATATGTCATATGTCATATATCATATATGATATATCATATATCATATATCATATATCATATATCATATCATATTATTAGATATATTTTCTGCCAGGTTGCAGTCTGCTTGTCCTCTGAAAAAAAAGGAATTTCTGAAACTGTGGATATACAAACACACATAATTATATATATTTCCCATTTCATGCTCCTTTGCACATAAAATTCATCATTTCATCCTCCTCCTCCTGTGGCTACCCTGCAGTTTGCTTGTCTTCTGAAAAAACGGAATATTTGAAACTGTGGAGACTACAAACACACTTTATTAAATATATTTTCTGCCAGGTTGCAGTTTGCTTATCCTCTGAAAAAAAAGGAACATTGAAACTGTGAAGAGACAAACACAAATTATTATATATATTTCCTATTTCCCTCTCTTCCCTGCTAGCAGAGGGGAAGAGAGGGAAAAGGGAAATTTATATAATAATTTACTATTTACTCACTATTCCAGAGCTGGGGATAAGCAGAAGAGGGAAAAAGGGAATTTCTATCCCTTGGGAAGAGGAAAAAGGGAATTTCTATCCCTTAAACTCACTAAATTCAATGTGAGCAGGGATCTCTCTGTGCCACCAGGCAGGAAAACAGAGAATTTCAGAGGTTATTGAAATTTTAAGTACAATTTTCTGCAAGTGAAATCTGTCTTTTGCCGAGTTTTAACTTTTGAAGGTGGTCAGACTTCCGGGAAACATTAAACTGTGCTGAAGCTGAAGTTTTGAGGACGAATGGAAATCACAGACTTTTTACACTTATTAAATTCTATTTTGCTTACAACGAAGGGAGAGGAATTAATTAATTAATTAATTAATTAATTTAATTAATTCCCCTGCCACGCTCTCATATCAGAGCCGCTCTCCTCACAAAAACACCGCGGGGGTTTTGTTGGTTTTTTTTCCTTCCCAGATGCAGAAAAGGAACATCCCCAACCCCCTGGCCCAAACAGGAACTGCATCCCCGGTGATTTCTTCCTGTCCTGGCCCTATTTATAGCACCAAGGTCACCCAAATCAGAACAGAAACAGCATCATATGATTTTTTTGGGGGGTGGCTGAGTGAATTGTCACAGCACATTTNGATTGGATGCTCTGAGCTAACAGGATTTAAATCTTTCAAGGATTTAAAGGAATTGTTCCCATGAGTGTGGCACATTCATAGAAGTGTTCAAGGACAGGGTTTGGAGCAACCTGGGGTGGTGAAAAATGACCCTGCCCAGAGATTTTGGTTTTTCCAACCCAAATAATTCCATGGTTCTGTGAAGATCTTGTCCAGGAAACTGCATTATCTTCCACTTCCTCCCATTATCTTCCCCCCACCAGAGAAAGGAAACATTCAAGGCAGGGAAAAAATGGATTGGATGCTCTGAGCTAACAGGATTTAAATCTTTCAAGGATTTAAAGGAATTGTTCCTCATGAGCGTGGCACAGGTTGTTTATACACAGAATTGTCCAAGGCCAGGTTGGACAGGATTTGGAGCAACCTGGGGTGGTGAAAAATGTCCCTGCCCAGAGATTTTGGTTTTTCCAACCCAAATAATTCCATGGTTCCATGAAGATCTTGCCCAGAAAACTTCATTATCTTCCACTTCCTCCCATTATCTTCCCCCCATCAGAGACAGGAAATGTTCAAGGCAGGGAAAAATGGATTGGATGCCCTGAGCTAACAGGATTTAAATATTTCAAGGAGCTTTTCAAAGTCCCTTCACCTTCCCCAGCAATTTCCCTCTTCCAAAGGAAACCTCATCTCCCTCAGCTGCTGCAGCTGAGAAGGCAAAGCAGAAATGTGGGACATGGGGGGAATCAGAGCCATCAAAGGATGAATGCATTGGGAAAATTTTGTTATCATCCACATTATGGAGCACTGCAGCAGTGTGGCTGTCACCTCCTGCAAAATCTGCTTTTTTCCCCCAGTTTGCCACACCAGCATCCTTTTATCAGCCTGCCTGGCTTTATGTTGTCACCAATCATTTCCAGCGCTCTCCCACCCTCCCCATCCTCATCCCTGAGCCTGTGCTTTGTGCACAGATGAAATCCTTTGTCAGTGAAGCAGCACATCCTGGGAGCTGTGATGGGAGAGCCCAGCCCTCAAACACACAGCTCTGAGCATTTCAGCTCAAATCCTTCCAGCGCTCCTTGCTGGGCACAGCCAAACTGGGGCAGCTGAAATTATCCTGCCGTGTTTGAGCACAGATAAATCACAGGGCAGCTGTGGGTGCTCAGGCTCCACATGGAGCAGGGACAGAAGGGACCCTGTCAGTGTCACAGCACTTTGCTGGTGGCACTCAGGGACAATGACACACTTTGGGTGGCATTAAGAGCTCCAAGGAAGAGCTCCTTGTCCCCTGAGTGCCACTTTGCTGGTGGCATTCAGGGGACAAGGACAAACTTTGGGTGGCATTACGAGCTCCAAGCACACTTTGCTGGTGGCATTTGGGGGACAGTGACACACTTTGGGTGGCATTAACAGCTCCAAGGAAGAGCTCCTTGTCCCCTGAGTGCCACTTTGCTGGTGGCATTTGGGGGACAACGACACACTTTGGGTGGCATTAACAGCTCCAAGGACGCTTTGCTGGTGGCACTCAGGGACGAGGACACAATTTGGGTGGCATTACGAGCTCCAAGGACACTTTGCTGGTGGCACTCAGGGGACAAGGACACACTTTGGGTGGCATTAAGAGTTCCAAGGACACTTTACAAAGTGTTATCTTTTAAACACATTTTAAATTGGTGGCATTCAGGGCACAAGGACACACTTTGAGTGGCATTACGAGCTCCAAGGACACTTTGCTGGTGGCATTTGGGGGACAATGACACACTTTGGGTGGCATTGAAGAGCTCCAAGGAAGAGCTCCAAGGAAGAGCTCCTTGTCCCCTGAGTGCCACTTTGCTGGTGGCATTCAGGGCACAAGGACACACTTTGGGTGGCATTAACAGCTCCAAGGACACTTTGCCGGTGGTTTGAAGAGGTCCAAGGACATTTTGTTGGTGGCATTCAGGGGTCCAAGGACACACTTTGCTAATGGGGTCCAAGGACACACAATTTGTGACATTAAAGGGGTCCAAGGTCACTTTACTGGTGGCACTTTACTGAGGACACTTTTCTGGTGACATTAAAAGGGTTTGAGGACACACTTTGGGTGGCATTAACAGCTCCAAGGACGCTTTGCTGATGGGACTAATGAGGTCTGAGGACACTTTGTTGGTGGCATTAAAAGGGTTTGATGACACACTTTGCTGGTGGCAGTAAAGGTGTCCAGAGACACATTTTGTGGAGAATTAAAGGGATTTGGGGGCACACTTTCCTGGTGGCAATGAATGGGTCAAAGGACACTCAACTGGTGGCATTCAGGGGACAAGGACACACTTTGAGTAGCATTGAAGAGCTCCAAGGACACTTTGCTGGTGGCATCTGAGGCTCTGAGGGGACNTGCTTGGGAAACTTTTCTGCTGTAACAGAACTTCGGGCCACATCTTGAGGCCTAAATACTCTTTTTTAACCATTTCTTAAAAACCCTCTAACTTTATGGATTCCCACACTTTCCTGTTTCATCTCCCCCAACATCAGCCCCTGAGGATAAGCAGCCAGCAGGGCCCTCAGAAGCGCTGCCTGTTCGTGTGCAGGCATGGAGAGAGGATGGATGTGGTGTTTGGCAAGTACTGGCTGTCCCAGTGCTTCGATGCCAAAGGTGAGCCCAGCGTGCCACATATCGGGTAAAAACTTGTTCCAAAAATGCCTCAAAATGTCATAGTTGAGATGGTCACAACCATAGATTGGTCACAACCAATCAATAGGTTCCTCTATTCAAAACCTTGTGGTGAAAGGATGATTTCACAACTCCCTTCTTTCTAAACTCTGATATTCCAACCTCCTGTAAAAGTGGAATGTTTGTTGTGGGATAGAAATGACATTCCCTTGGGGAAATCAGTCCTAAAAATAAAAAATAAAAATTTGAGAACCTTAGCAACATTCTGTGCCGACTTCGAGCTGGTGAGAGGTGTTTAATTTAATTTTGGGAGATTCCTGATGGATTTACATGGGGAAAAAAAACCAGCTTATGAGCCAGGCTTAGGCAGGACAGCACAGCTGAGGTGGTGGGAGAGGGGAAAATCAGGTGTGATGTTCCTGCCTTTGTCTGAGGGAATAACTGCAGCTCGGCACCTCTCCCTGCAGGCAGGTACATGCGCAGCAACCTGAACATGCCTCACAACTTACCTCAGAGGAGCGGTGGCTTCAGGGATTATGAAAAGGATGCTCCCATCACCGTGCTGGGCTGCACCCAGGCCAGGCTCGTGGGTAAGCGCTGCTCAGCAGGCAAAGCTTGCAGCTGGACTGGGGGGATTTTTGGGAAGGAATTGTTCCCATGAGTGTGGCTCATTCATGGAAGTGTCCAAGGCCAGGTTGGACAGGGTTTGGAGCAACCTGGGGTGGCGAAAAGTGTCCCTGCCCAGAGATTTTTGTTTTTCCAACCCAAATAATTCCATGGTTCCATGAAAATCTTGCCCAGGAAGCTTCGTTATCTTCCTCCCATTTCCTCCCATTATCTTCCCCCCATCAGAGACAGGAAACGTTCAAGGCAGGAAAAAAATGGATTGGATGCTCTGAGCTAACAGGATTTAAATCTTTCAAGGATTTAAAGGAATTGTTCCCATGAGTGTGGCACATTCATAGAAGTGTTCAAGGACAGGGTTTGGAGCAANGATGCTGAGAAGGGCACTGAGGGGAAGGAGCTGGCACACAGAGCCTCATCTCAGCCAAGCAGCAGCAGATGCTCTCCCTTAGCATGGGGCTGGAGGACAAGGTGAATTTCGCAGATTTTTGCAGCAGCTCTTGGTGGCTGATGGAGCTGCAGCAGATGGCTGCTGAAAGCACTGCCGTGCAGGCACCTCTGGCTGGGCCTGCCATCAGCAAGGTGTAAATTTGAGAGTTTATTTGGGAAGAGACATCTTCCCCCTGCATCATTCCCTGCTGGGAAGGACTTTGGATCAGCAACATTCTTTAGGATATTTAGGAAGATTTTTAGGATCTTGTTAATAACTTCAGTGAGAATGCAGCCCTCATCTTTTAAATAAGGTTATGCCTCTTGATTTTGGTGGGAATTCATGAAACAGAATGCTGATCCTGAAATCATTCATTCACCCCTCATTTATCCCTGCCAGAGCAGGGGAGACAAGGCACCATCTGGAAGGCAGGAGATGGATTTTTTCCCCAGAAACCCCAGAATTTTGGGGAAAGGCCTCCAAACAATGAGCTGTCCTTAGGAGATGACTCAGCTGGAGCAGCCTCAGCAGTTTGTGTTTTCCAGCAGCACTGGGGACAGGCTGGTGGCTCTTCTCCAGCCCACTGAGAGTTTGCCTCTGCCTCATCACCATTCCCAGCAAATCCTGCCTCTATAAATAGATGGTGAAGCCTTTGTGGCCTTTATTAAAAGAGAAAGAAAGGCTCAGAAATTGTGTGGCAGCTCCTGGGGGCAAAGGGAAGTGGGGTAACCAAAAAAATCCTTGGCATTCTCCAGACCAGTGTCCTTAAAAAATGTCATATGGGCAAAGGCAGGAAAGGGATGGAATGGGAGGAAGGGCTGACAGCTGGGACAAATTCACTTTGTGCAGAAATAGGATTCTCCAAGTGAGAACTGAGATTCTGTTCACACAAATATTCAAGTTGTGGGGTTACTGAGGATGGATCAGTGCTGACCCCAATGCTCCACCTGCATTTGGACAACGGGGGGAACAATTGAACAGTGCCAGCCCCTGTTGGGAGCTCAGGAATAATCCAGCAGCTCAGTGTCATCCTTGCACCCTGATTCAGCAGATAACAGATCGGGACCAACATCATAATGGGTTTTTTCCTCCTTTAAATCACACAACTCACGCAGGTGACCTATTTCTGTCCCAGTGGCAGAGTCACTCGGGGCTATTTTACCAGCTGTGACACCCCTGTGAGATTTTATCCAAACTGCTGCTATCAGGAAGCAGCTCCTGCTGCATTTAAGGCACTGAAAAGTGCCAGCTCTGGCAACTCTCTCTGTCAAAGTAAATGACCACATCCATTACCTGATAATGTTCTTTTTTTAATGACTAAGCAGAGGTGACTGAGTCAGCAGAGGGTCGAGGCAGCTTCTGTAATTGTCTGTCACATTTTAGTCCCCAGGGTTTTGGCCAAAGTCCTTGAATATGTGGGAATAAGAGCTTTGTTCAGAGGGACCATCATTAGGCAGGGCCCTGCAGGGAGAGTGGGCTCTGTTAAATCCCTTTGGTGCCCTTAACAGGAGGCACTGGGGGGAATAAATTCCCAAACAGGTGGGAAAGGGAATAGGCAGCACTGAAAAGTGCAGGAGCAACAGGGGGAGAAGCTGTTTTGGGCACAAAAACCCTGAAAACTGCCCAGGGAGAGGCCCCAGCTTCCTGCTGAAGCCACAGCTTGTGCCAGAAATGAGTGCAAATTCCCTGCAGGCATTAATTCCCAAATTTGGGATCACAAATCCACGGTCAGTGACATGGGCAGGTCCCCAGGTGATGTTAGTGAGCATCCTGTGGTCACCAGGAGGGTCCTGGTGTTTTCCATGAGGACATTCCAGGGTGGAGAGAACCTCCCAGGGCAAAGTTTGGGAATTGCTCTGTGAGTTGTTCCTAAGGAAACAGCCCATGGAGATGGAATTGTCTCCTCATGTGTGTGCATCACCTGGCAAGGTGCTCTCAGAGCAGCACTAAACCCCAAATAATAATAAAATAGTTACAACAATAATTACCACCGGCTCCTGGAGGCTACAGAAACATCCCGAGGGCACAAAAACCATTCCCAAAGACAACGTTTTTCTATTTTTGGCAGGTCCTACTCCATCCTGAACACCTCATCCTGCCCGTCCCTCCAAGCCTTTGCTGATGGAGCTCTGGAGAGAAGGCAGCAGGAGGACCAAGGGCCAGGGGACGCTGGGCCTCTCACCATCATCTGCCAGAACGTGCAGGTAGGGACCCACAGCCAGAAATCATGAGGGACAGCCTTCCACTGAACGGATTTTCCCCAAAAAATTTATCTTTTCACTCCCTGCAGCACAAGTTACAGAGTTTTTAATGACACAACCCTGTCCCCAAACTGCCCCTTCAGCTGCAGGGTCTGCTCTGACCCTTGGGCCTGTCTGCAAGCAGAGGGTGTTGTTCCATC